AGAGATTGGAGATTCTGCCCCCCCCTCACACACCAATCAAGGCGAGTGAGCCCCCCTCGCAACCAATCACGACAAGACCAAAAGTCGATTTTCGTTACCGATCCAACCAGCATTTGAAAAAAAAAAGGGTGGGGGGGAGATTGGAGATTCTCTCCCCCCCCCCCCACACATACACCAATCAAGGCGAGTGATCCGCCGTTGCAACCAATCATGCCGTGACCAAAAGTCGAGATTCGTTACCGGTCGTTTGCCGGTGGGTACCCCGCCCGACGGAAAGGCCACGTCCGCTTTTTCAAACTGGGCGAGGTACTGGTGGTTCAAGGGGCTCGCCACAGAGCCTTTCGAACTGAGGCATTTTTCGAAAGTTGTCAGATGAAAATCGAAAGCCCGCCGTTCGAAAGAAAACCCCCCTTCGCCACACAGACTTTCGAAACATTCTTCCTTTCGAATTTCGTCATCATACAGACTTTCGAAACATTCTCGGGGCACACCCCGACTGAAATGGCAGTTGTAAGGGTAGCAACCCTGGCAGATGGTCATTGGGAGGGCCCATTTTCACAAGACCAGATTGAGGCTTTTGAGATTCGGGCCGTCACAGGCAGGAGGGACAGGCCACTTCGAAATGCCTTTCCAGTGCATTCGGACTGACACCTTGGGTGTGGTCCCACTAGCAAAGAGGATGAGATCGAATGCCTGAATCTGGACGTGTTTATTGAGAGGTGCAGGAAATAGAGATTGAGCTGCTTTTCTGCATCTCTGCATAAAACACGTCCACATTCAGGCATTCGATAGGATCCGCTTTGCTGATGGGACCTCGGCCCTTTCCAAACATTAAAAGTGTGAGTTGGCTCGAAAGGCTGTGTGGCGAAGATGGAGTCCCCATTTTTTGTGGTTCAAAAGGCTGTTGGCGAGCCCCTAAGTTGAGAAAACTACCCTACAGAGGGTAGGGTAGATTTTTTTTTTTTTTTTTTTTTATGTCCCCTCCATGGGTAGATTTCTCAACTTGAATGCCTTTCTTTTTTCTGTTTTTTGAGACATCATTACATCCTGAAACGGAGGAACTCTGACAGCTGTGTTTGGGTGTGTTTGGCTCTCTGGCATCAAACTCGCTTCCTTCTTTGGGCAATGAACGCATTTGGCCATGCACGTTGTCCCGGGGCAAGGTCCCACTTGCATGGATTATGAGATTCTGGCCGTTGATAATATCGCTTAATTCGTGTAAGTGGGACCTAGCCCTCGGTCCATTTGACAAATGGCGACCTCCGGGGCTCGGGGAGTATCCCTTTTTTTTTTTTTTTTTTTTTTTTTTTTGGGGTGATCGCAACACTCTATATTCTTCTCTCAACTTCTGTTTTTGTTTGCCTTCCACTACCTACTCCTCAGACTATCTAGAGGGGAACCCTGCAAGCATAGTTTTCCCCTCTTTGTGAAGGGGGGATTTCATGTTGCCCCTTGCCCCTAATGGTTAGGGTATAGGGTTGGGGCCGCCAGTGGGGGTCTGGCTAACACAAAGACAGAGACCTGCCAGTACCTGAGCCTCCCTTTCTCTTTCCACAAAGACATTCACTCGACTGTGCCATTTAAAAAAAAAAAAAAAATCATTACAGCATTTTTTTAATACGTGAAAATGCTGTCACACGGTTGTGTTTTCTAAACTTTTTTTTTTTTTTTTTTAAAGGGCGATGGCCTTGAGGTATTATCATCGACTAACCAGCCCAGGTAAATTCAATCTTTTGTCTAATCTGACAACGGTGGCCTGATAGCCTTAGGGTGGCCTGATAGCCTTCAGGGAACCCCCAACGGGAGGAGTCCGGCCAGGGGGACAGCCGTTGGCAGAGGGACCGAGCATCATCTGAGTGGCCAGTCGCTGTGCCTCCCCGATTACCCCTCCCCCTATGAACATCAGCAGAGACTGCTTTTTAATGCCAATTGGGGGGACCAACGGACTATCTCTAGGTGGCGGGCGCCAAGCATGCCCAGGAAGGTACATGAGGCCAATGGGGATTGAACCCAAGACCTCCTGAATGCCACTTGCGTGCCTTACCAACTGAGCTAGGCCGCTCAACTTGGGGCCCACTCACAACTGGTAAAAAAAAAAAAAAAAAAAAAAAAACTCACAACTGAAAACAGCGAGGGACGAGGCGCGCACGGTCGGACGCGAAAACAGTGAAGAAAGCACAGTGGAGGTCAATCAATCAATCAATATCGTGCTTTTTTTTTTTAACTTATATAAATCAATTGATTGATTGATTGATTGATTGAATGGTGGGGGGGGAGTGGGGGGGGTTCGCCCCCTTCCTCCCACACACACACCAGGTCCTGTCTTTGCCCGAGTAGCGCGCACGACCATTATCTGTCTGTATTTGGTTAACTTTCAGTCTCGAAACAGCGGTAATGACCCTGCGTTTAGTGGGGTCCAGATGGGTCGCATGGATTCCCGGAGAGATATAGGGCGTACCGTCTTCCCCCGAAGACAACGCACCCTCATTTTGGCTGTATCTGGCCGGAATATACCTTGTATACATTAATTTTTGGGGTGCGTTATGTTCGGGGGAAGACGGTAGTTGCATGACTGGCCACGATCCGCCAAGATTTGGATTGCATCTGGATTAATTTGATGTCCATATAAATTCAAAATGTTTAAAAAAATCCAAAGGTCGACGGCCAGTATTTTATGGCCCCCGAAATTCCGATTCCGATTGCGATTCCGAATCGAGTGCAAGTGCGAGGAACAAACCACAAGCGGCGAGCAAGCGAACTCAGCCTAGCGGAGAGAGGTACATTCAGAGCGAGGAGTAGTCGGGGTTGTTCTCCTCTGTCACCTACCTGATAAGCTCTGCGGCTATGGCGAGTGATGCCTGCCAATCTGGTCTCGCCTGGCGATGGCGATGGCGATGGCGAGTCCTCCTTCGAGGTAGGCAGGCATTCGTATGCATCCTTCCCCAGCCAGCAGGAGGGCAGCCATTTCTGCTTGCTACCTTCTTAACCCCGAACACAACGCGCCCTCATTTTGACTGTATCGAGCCGGAAACATACCTTGTATACGTTCATTTTAGACGGTAGCCAGTGGTCCTTAGTCTCACCCTTTGTTCCTTTTTGCGATCTTCCCTTGCTTCTCCGTTACTACTCGTCTGTCGGATGTTTTCATTCCTCTCTCTCTCTCTCTCTCTCTCTCTCTC